CCAGTGGTGCCCAGCGCCAGGACAAGGGGCAATGGGCACAAACTGGAGCAGAGGAAGCGCCAGCTGAACCCGAGGAAGAACTTCTTCCCTCTGAGGGTGACGGAGCCCTGGCCCAGGCTGCCCAGGGAGGCTGTGGAGTCTCCTTCTCTGGAGATATTCCAGCCCTGCCTGGACGCGGTGCTGTGCCCCCTGCTCTGGGTGACCCTGCTTGGGCAGGGGGTTGGGCTGGGTGACCCACAGAGGTCCCTTCCAACCCCTACCCTGCTGTGAGTCTGTGATACCCCAGCATGCACCAGAGATGCACAGATACTTCTGAATTACAACACAGAAAAGCTGCACAGTCAGGAAAAAACATGAGAAAAATGCAAAACTATGTAAAGAAAGAGAACAAACTTTCAAAACGGGAAGTTCTACGAGATTCAGCAGGTCTGTCACAACGCCTTCGAGAGCACGTGACCAGGATTTTAGCTCTGCCTCACGGATAAATGACGTGTATGACACAATACACAACAGATGATGGTTTCTAGCTTGAGGCTTGTCCAGTTCCCCCGCTCTTAGGGCAGTCCTAGAGTGGCTCGCCAGTCTCGGTACACACGGCAGCACTGCAGGCTTAGGCCTGCGTGGGAAAGGGGACAGACCCACCAACACAGCCCCTCAAATCCCCGCTCAGCAGCAACCACCAGCTCCATCCCACCCCTGCCTTCCCCCCAGCCGTCCTCCTCCTTTCGCAGCAGACCTGCGCTGGGGGCTTCCCACACACTGATGATCTCCTGACCCCCACCAGTCTCGTGCTGCATCCGAGTCCTCCTTTCCCACTGGCTCATCCCTGTCTCTGGCTCCTACCCCCCCCTGGCTATCCCAGGCTGTTTCATTCCTCCCCAGCTCTGTGCTGCACCCCGCCTTCCCCACTGTCTCCCACCTCAGCCTTACCAGTCTGCCCCAGTCCTCCCCAACACCCCAGACGAGTGCCTCCCCCAACCTTAGAGAATCACAGAATGGTTTGGGTTGGAAGGGATCTTAAAGATCGTCTCGTCCCAAGCCCCCTGCCATGGGCAGGGACCCCTTCCACCAGCCCAAGGTGCTCAGAGCTCCATCCAACCTGGCCTTCAACACTGCCAGGGAGGGGGCAGCCACAGCTTCTCTGGGCAACCTGGGCCAGGGCCTCACCACCCTCATGGTAATTATTTTTTTCTTTATATCTAATCTAAACCTACCCTCTTTCAGTTTAAAGCCATTACCCCTTGTCCTATCACTCCATGGTCTTGTATAAAGTTCCTCTCCAGCTTTCTTACAGACCCCTCCAGGCACTGGCAGCTGCTCTAAGGTCTCCCTGGAGCCTTCTCCTCTCCAGGCTGAACAGCCCCAGCTCTCCCAGCTTTTCCTCACAGCAGAGGGTTCCAGCCCTCGGATCATGACTGGGGCCTCCTCCGGCCCCACTGCAACAGCTCCAGGTCTGCCCTGTGCTGAGGGCTCCAGAGCTGGGCACAGGACTCCCGGGGGGGTCTCAGCAGAACGGGGCAGAGAGGCAGAATCCCCTCCCTCAACCTGCTCCTTATGTTGTGAATTACTGATTTTTGCCGTTACTTCAACAGATAAAATGTCCTCCTGAAATATCACCTCCTTTTAACAATCAGTGCTCCTGACCAAGAATTAAAACTAACTGAAACACATTCTTCTTTATAAGTTGCATGGTGACTCATATGCCTCCAAATTTAAATACTGATGAGATTCGTTTAACAAAGCTGCTGATAGAACTGAACTAGTTGCTAACAAAAGGATAGTGCTACCTCTCCATAATAAGTTTATTGCTGGTTTGCTGGGGGGTGGGGTGGTGGTGCACGCAGAACAGATTATGTCAGGAAAGTGTAATTTCAGGTTTAAAAAAAAAGTGAACAAGATCAGTAAGAGTGGAAACTTACAAAGGACAGTTATCTGCAGCAGCAGACCTAAACTTCCCAAATGTTCCCTAGGCAGCTGAATAACAGCCTAACTCTCCTTCAAGCTGTTGATACATCTCCGCCTAACCTACTAATGCTCAAAGTGACAATGAAGTAACACGCAACTGCTGATATTTTCACATAATCTAAGAGTTACTAAATTACAATTACAATACATCAATCTCCACAGCTCTCTTTTGGTGCAAATATTTGTTACATGATACCACATCAATGTGGTCCATGAAGACTTTCAGAGCCCGATCGAGCTGTTTCCACTTTATCCTCAGGCACTCCCGCAGACTCCCAGAAACAGAAGTGTAATAACGGCTACCAAAAGAAGCTTGAAAAAAAAAAAAAAAAAAAAAAAAC